TTGCAGGTTGGGAAAGGTATTCATTGGGATATCATGGTGACAATGGATTGATATACATACAACACCCTAGAGGAAGAAATTATGGACCTCTATTTACGGAAGGAGACACAATTGGATGTGGTGTGAATTTCTATAATCGTACCGTATTTTATACAAAAAATGGTGTTAATTTAGGTTTGTAAAAAAGCCTTGTTGAGACTTTCTTCATGCGAAAAAACATTTCAAATATTCGCATGTTACCCTAATATGGTTTAAATTCTTTGTATCAGGAACGGCATACATTGGAATTGATCATGGAGAATTCTATCCTATGGTTGGGTTAATTACTACAGACGAATGGGTGGAGGCCAATTTCGGGGAAAAACCTTTCATGTATAATATATCACGCCATGCAAAGGTAATAACTCTATATTTGTTGCTTAAACGTCAACATATGGTATTGTAAAAAAAAAAAAAGGCACTTATGCATGAAATCTCATCATTATGTACTTTCATTATTTAGATGGTTTTTGACCATGCAGTTGAGAATGATCTTCACGTAGAACAAGAATCACCTGGAGATTATGAACTTGATGATCTAATGCCTCCGCGGTTTTACTGTGACAACTGTGGAGCTTTTTATTGAAGGAATGATTAGAATTTAAATTAAATTGAAATTTAAAAAGATTTGCAACTCCAAGGGTACGATAATTGAATGAGTTATTGCTCTTAATGTGTAACCTATTTACGTTCATTTTTTAATGTATTTATTTTAAGCTATGTATAAGAATTGTATGTATATATTTACTAAAATGTTTTCATAGTTATTCCGAGAAAGCTAAAAAGGACTTGTGAGTTAATGGAGTGGATATTATATATACCAAAAAATTAAAGTTAAATTAAATTTTGCATTTACTATATCCGAATTTGCGGGTAAGACTTGTTAATAAGTATATTTTAACTTTATACTTAATATAATATACTGTATATGCTATACATAGTAAAGACATTATTTTTATTCAAAGCAATTGATTTTTTTAATAATTATTTGTTAATAAACGCGCGGGGATGTGGTTTTTATGGATTGATTAAACCGCATATTGATATTTGCTTGATTTTTTATATAAAACTAAATATGGGTAATTATTTTTGAAGGCGTCAAAAATGCTAGATATGATTTTTTTGGACCCAGCTTTTAAACAATACATATATAATATAAATTTTAGGATCACACCA